AGGAGGAAATTTACAACAATAACTAAAAATAAATAGAACAATTCTAACAATATACCGCATGAAAGTTACACGAACGTGGCGTCTCTCCCTCTCCACAGGGATTTTTATATTTCTCAGTCCAGACCTGTTCCTGCACCTGTGTAACCTTCCCTGACTTGCAGTAAATGGCCTGATGTCCCTCTTTTCAAGGGATCCCTTGCTGAAGTCCTCGCAGACGCTCAGTGTTTTCTGATGCAACGTGCTGCCGTCAGTTGAAACACGGTTTCTGTCCGTGTCTTCCACCCACTTTTCCATCTTAACTAAGTGCTTCTCATGCAGTGTGGCTGTAGCTTTGCAGTCTGAGGTACGACAGCAAAGTTACTATAAATTTCTTTCTTTCTTCTTCAAAAGTTCACAGATAGAAGGTTCATCCTTACTGTAGATCTTAGCAACCTCAGCACAGGATTTTTCTTTATTAGGTCGAGAACGTTAACCTTGAAATTTAAAGGTAGCGCTTCATGGCTTCTCTCTGGCATATTCTAATTGCCAACACCATTGCTCTTGCACTTTGGGGACATCATTAAGTAAAATGAGGGTTTGTTGGGCACAGTTCTGTGATGCCACAACAGTCGATCTGATCCCCAGGGTATCTGCTGATGGACTAATAGGCGGGGAGCGTAGACGGCGTGGAGACACCAGACAAAGGGGCGACTCACATCCTGAGAGGGACAGAGTGGGACGGCTCAAGACCCCATGACACTGCCCAGAGCGGCACGACTTATACCTTATGAGCTGTTTATTTCTGGAATTCTTCATTTAATATTTTCATGCCGCGGTTGGCCGCGGGTAACGGAAACCGCTGATCGCAAAACCGCAGATGAGGGGGGACCAGTGTACAACCCCGTGCCCCTTCGTTTCAACCCCTTGGGCATTTCTGGCCGGGCGCTCCCTTAGCTCGTGTTTATCTAGGAAAGTCTTCGTTTCTCCCTTGGATATGATGCAAGATAAGGGTCAAATTTTATTTTTCTGTGTATGGTTGTTCACCTGTAACATCATTTATTGAAAAAGACCATCTTTTCCTCATTGAACTTCCTCGACACCTTTGTCACAAATCCACTGACCATCCAGGAAGGGGTCTGTTCATGGCCTTGCTCGTGGTCCATTGATTTGTATATCTGTTCTCCCACAAGTACCACGCTGTCCTGGTTGCTGTAGCCATGTCAGTCTTAAAATCTAGTACTGAATCATCCAGTTCTTTTCCAGTTATTTGGCTAGTTTAATAACTGGGAAAGTAAAATTTCTTTTTGTTCCGTAGCCTTTGTTTCTTAATATAAATTTTAAAATTGGCTTGTTAATTTCTACCCAGTAAGCCTGCTGGGATTTTGATTGGATAGCATTGAATCTGTAGATCACTTCGGGAAAATTTGACGTCTTAGTCGTATTGAATCTTCTGATGCACAGAGATGGTTCATCGCTCCATGCTTTCATTTCTGTCAGCAGCGTATTGCAGTCTGCGGTATACAATTTTCGCACATACGTGTTAAATTTATCCCTAGGTAGTTTGTGTTTATTGATGATACGCTAAAGGTGTTGTCTTTTTAAATCTCAGTTTTTAGTTTGTAGAAGTAAATTGATGTTTGCATATTGACCTTATACCCCATAAGCTTGATAAAAATCACTTAGTAGCTTTTTTGTAGAATCTTTATGATTTTCTACATAGATGACATCTGTAAATACAGTTTTACTTTCCAGTCTATGCATTTTATTTCTTTTTCATGCCTTATTATGGGAATTTCATTTTCTATGTTGTGTAGCATCTAATCCGACAATGTTAACAGACCACTAAACTCTGCGGTCAGGCCACAGAAGACTTTTTCACTATGAATTTATGATCTATCAGGGTTGAATTTATATTTTTATTGAAATTATAACCAGATGATTGAGATGAACCTTTTCAGACTTAAAGCACAGTACATCTCTTAATCTTATAGAATTTTAGAAATTCATATGTAACTTTTAAGTATCATTTTTAACATCACATATTTTGAAATACCAGTATTTTTATGATAATGAATGAGTTTATCATCTAGGAAGTATTGAACCAGTGACCTTATCTATCCAGTTATGATGAAAGACCCAATCTAACCTTTTATTGAACAAGGTATTTATTAAAAATGAAACTTCTCATTTCTAGTACTTAATCAATAGCACATTAAGCCATTTATTACTGTGATTAAAGAAACCAGATACCCTACTCCCTCGTCATCTCGTTTAATTTTAACAGCCAGGAAGGAGTCTGACCCAGGTCCATCAAGATCGGTCTAACCCTGCGCCCGTAACTTCTTTGAGGTTCTGGAAAGGACCATTAAAGTTTGCAGAAAGAAAATAACTTGGAACAGCTCTGCAGGAAGGAACAGCCCCTTGAACATCATCGTGTAACTACGTCTACCTGGAGAAGATATATTTTATTTCCCATTAGTTAACTATCACCTGTTTGATTAAAACAGTGGGGTTTGGTGCAGGTGACATATTGGCAAGTGTGGCAAGAAATGCGTAATGGACACTGGCAGGGAAAGAAACCAGGGCAAGAAAAGGGAACTGCCGAGGCCCGGCTCTTCCGGGAGCCTCGTGTGTTGGGAGTCACGAGCGGAACAGCGTGCACAGAGGCACGCGGCTCGGCGAGTGCCTCCGAATGACCCTGCCATCGGCATCCCGGGGCCGTGTCCGCCACCGGGGGGCGGAGAGCGACATGGCATCGTGATGAGAATGGCGGCTGATGTGACTGAATTCCCGCCGTGCGCGAGGCCTTGCCGAGCGCGTGTCCCTGAGTTATCTCGTTTACCCCTCACGGTAACGTGGGCCGCTGTCGTCCACGGGTTCGAGGTGAGAAAGCGAAAGGTTTAAGAGAGCTGCAGTTCGAACGGTTTTGCTGAGCGTGGGGCGCTGCGCGAAGCCCTTTGCAATCGCTGTCCCGTTTCATCCTCACACTGTCCCTGACAGTTGGCCGTTGTCCCCTTTCGCAGATGAGGAAGCTCATCTGCCACCAGCCCTGGTCTCCCAGCACAGGCCATTTGACACCGGCACCTGCCTTCTTATCCACTGAACTTGAAGGTCGGTGTCTTAGCACAGAGCGAATTGCTCAGGCGGGCAGCTGGAGGGGAAGGAGGGAGGCGGCCACCTACGAGTGGCCAGTGCTGTGATGCCCGGAGGCTGCACCGAAGAGACGGTGGCGGAGAGATCGGCGGGCACGGAGCAGACACCTGCCTCGACCCTTTCCCAGGGAAGTGGTTAGTGGGACCTGTTGGTGGGACCTGATGGAAACAGCGGTGTGTGCAGACGCGACTCTGTGAACAAACGTCTGGTCACGCCGAGTGGCTCGGGTCCAGCTGGCTCTTTTCTGAATAACAATCACGTGAAGTTAGTATTGCTCTTAGGTCAGCCACCCAGCCATCCGCTCCTCAGACGAGGAAGCCGGTCTGAGAGGCACCTGGGCCTCCTCTCGGGCACCTGCAACTGACATGTCACGTGCCCTCCGCTTGTCTTTTGGTCACATTTATTGTCTTTTTCTTGTTATTCTTTGGAATTCATTGTTGTAAACCTCTGGTAAACCCGCACAAATTTCCTGGTTTTCTCGCATCTGAATGACTTATTTTAAATGTTTTCCAATCGAAAATATTTAATTTACATGCCAAAAAATATTACAAAGTAAAGTTTTGCCTTTTTTCAATGACGAAAAAACTCATTAGTCCTGAAATTGGAAGATATTGAAAACTTGTGGAAATTATAGAAAAATATAGTTTGTTTTCCCTAATAACCTCAGTCCCGTGACTGACCGTGTCACTCTGACCGCTCCCCTGTGGCTCTGTGGCCCGGGGCCTGACCCCAGGGTACCATCCGTCTTTGGCACCCTCACCGGGTACCTGCTCCCGCCCTCTGCCCAGGCGGCTGGGTTTTCGGGCCCCAGTGGCATGTCGTCAGCGACCCAGAAATGTGCTTCTGTCACCGAAATGGTGGGGTTGCCTCCCAAAATAAAATGTTTTTTACTTGGCAAGTCATCTGGATAAACCTGTGCATTCAGCATCACCTCTGTCAGACCAAAATGGTCCCCGAGACTGAGAAAAAAACAGGTATATTCTTCCCGAAAACAGACCTGAAGGGCCCGCCAGGGAGACGGCAGTGTCCCTGGCCTCTGAGGAAGTCTCTCTGAGAACTTCCTGGTGGTCGTGAGGCAGACAGAGTAGATACGGACTTTTATCATCAGCCCTTCCTCCCATCCGGCTAAAACATGCAGAGTCTATTGTACTTTCTGTCATTGTGCTCTGTGCTCTTAGTACGGTATATTTTTCCCTCAAAGTGACTACTTAGGAGGATTGGAGGGTTGTATGTGTGGGGTAGGGGCCTTTTGGGGGTTCGGGGGGCTTTTGTTTTAACTATAGTATGGTGAAGCGGTTTTGTCTTTTTCATGAGCTGTCTTTCAGAATCAGAGGTTGAACTAGAGGTGTGTGTTCGTTTTACAATTTTACTTATTTATCTTTGATTATTAAGGATGAACATTCATTGCGTTTCCTTTGACAGAAAAACCGATTAAGTGCATGGCATTTCCATCTAACGACATATAGCTTTTGCTTTGTGTGGAGAGCACCTCGGCGTGATTCACTTCACATAACGTAGCTTAACGAGTCGGCGGGTCTCTGACGTTTTCCGTTTCGGCTCAGGCCCCATAGAACCACAAGCGTCATACCGTCTAACAGCAGCATTTCCCAGCAAAACCCAATCGCTGTTCATGTCCATAGCCGATCGCTTTATTAGCTGTGGAAAAGGGGGCTTGTCGAAGTAATAAGCGTAACTTCATCACATCCTGAATGTAGACAACACACGCCGATGCTGATAACGATAACACCGAAGTGGCACAGCACACATGTTGGAAGGTGGCCGACAGGCTCCCTTTTCGGCGCCGATGCTGATAACGATAACACCGAAGTGGCACTGACTGCTGTCTGATTGGGTTTTTCTTTCTACAGGCCTCTTCCGAGGAGCTGAAAGCCGCCTACCGCAGGCTGTGTATGCTCTACCACCCCGACAAGCACAGAGACCCAGAGCTCAAATCGCAGGCGGAGCGGCTGTTTAACCTCGTTCATCAGGCTTATGAAGGTCAGTGCAGGTCCAGTGCCCGGTAGCACACATTCGATTGTTAAGAGACTTGATTTGTAGAGGATACAAAAAGACAGTCCTCAGAGGTGTGGGAAAGAGGTGGTTAGTTTAGCGCTTTGCACGGACTGGGGCCTTTGAAAGGGGAGTATCTTGCTTTAGAAATCAATACGTGTCCAGTAAGTGGAAAACGAGAGTTGGAGAAGCACAGAGCAAGAGCCGAGTGAAATTCGGGTTTTAAACTGTCAGCTAGTGCTCTTCCAGCGGGAGCTCTGAGAGGCAGCGGGCTGGTCGTCACGGGCGAGCTGTCTTTTCTTTTTTGTGAGAAGATACAAGGACCTTTTCTCATCTGAAAGTGACTTTTATTGGCTCAGTAGCGTTCAGTTAAGGAAAGGTTCTCACAAAAGAAAGGAAATGATGTTAAGAAAGCTAGCAGGAAATAGAATCAGGTCATTTAGACTTTTATAATTACATTTTATGTATTTTGTGATCTATTTGTTTATAAAACATTGATTAAGTCATTAATAACTAGTTTACTGTTTGAGATGAAGAAAAATGATAGACATGCAATATTGTGAATGCGCCTGATGCCACCAAATTGTACGCTTAAAAATGGTTAAAATGATCAGTCTTATGTTACGTGTATTTTGCCACAATTTTAAAAATAAAAATTCTAAAAATATTAAATCACTCTTAAGATGTATGCCAAGTAAAATAAGTTATTTCAGAGCTATTTGGCAATTCATTCCTTAGACAGGCCAAAAATTAGATAATGTGTTTCTTTACAAAATAAAGACTTCTTGTTGTAGGCATAAAAGCATATGCTATATTTCACTTTACACTTTTACCAAAAAGTTAGATTTTAATGACCAGTAAAACTTGGGCCGTGGCTTATGGCGTGTGTGCCCAGTCAACTTTGCGTCTTTACCACATTTAACTCTATTCACACCACTCATGGTGGTCCCAACCCAAAGCCTGTTCCATTTATAGTATCCTGTCGTCTGAGTTACCTGCATAACTGCTCGCGATCGTTTTGGAGATCTGGGGGAGAGTTAACAGGAAAACCTACCATGCTCGTGAAAATGCTGTCGCAGCAGGCCTGCCCGGTGTTTACTTGAGCCTAAAGGGAGCTCAAGTAAAATCGTGAATAAATGTTCCTTATTAAATCCTGGAGATTAACACAAGAAGTTGGACGCCTGCATTTTCCAGGGGTCAGCATTTCTTTCTTCCTCGTTAGATCTGAATATGGATAGAATCATTTACATCGTTTGTTAATTAGGCCTAAAAATATATAGGAAGTCTCAGGGGAGAGAAGATTCAAAGGTCTTGAACAGAGGTTGGCAGAGCAGAGGAGGAAGATAATGACTCTTCCCTCTACTGACATTTAAATTTGACGAGCTCCCAGCCTGACTAAAAAATCCTTTTCGGAGGTATGTTAGGTGATGTGGCCAGCACCGTAGTGACAAGTGTTTGTGTGTTTTAAAATGATTTCCACATAAAGAGGAGAGGCGCACAAAACTAGACTGTCTCAGGAGCTAGTGAAACCCTACACATAAGCAGTAAATCAGACTTTTCTGGTATCAGAGCCTGTTGCTAGTTTTACATTAAGCTTCTTTAGAAACGGGAATTAACTCTTTCAAGCCAAGGTATTTTATAGACTGCGGTGGAAACTTACTCAACCCTTTAACTACACCTGTCCTGTAGTGACAGGGTCAGTGCAGCTTCCCACCAGGCGCGCCTCACGGTTAGGAGTGGCCTGGGCCCAAAAATTTGGCGTTTCTCATTTGTAGCCACATTTAAACACGGCCTCCCTTGGATCTGAAAAGCATTAGGAAGAAAGATGCACGGGGAGCGAAAAGGTCTCTAGGAAGGCCCTGGTTGTAGCGGGGGCAAGGAGAGAGGACTCGCCTGATGGCGGCGGCGGCAGGACCGAAGATTGGTGAACATGTCTGCTTTTTCATTTGCAGTGCTCAGTGACCCCCAGACCAGGGCCATCTATGACATCTATGGGAAGAGAGGCCTGGAAATGGAAGGATGGGAGGTAAGAGAAACCTTGCATCCGGTCATCAGACAACGACAAAACAGCCACCCCAATCCCCCGGCCTACGATGACATCTTTGAGACGATTTGATTTCGTTAGATTCAAATCGTTTGAGACGATTCGAAGACGTTAGATTTCCCTCCTTGCTTTGCATTTTAGTTACAGAGACCGAGTTCTGGGCTTGGGCAAGTCAGTCGTCAGCGTGTCCTCCATTTCCTAACCTGTCAGGTGAAAAGTAGGAGGGATCTCAGAGCAGCCCAGTAACTTTTAACCGGGGGAGGGAGCAGGCCGGCGGGGGGCGGACGGAGACAGTCTCTGCAAGGGGCAGTTCTGCCTGTGCAGACACATCCTTCACGCCCCACGCCGCTGTGCCTCTCTCTCCACTGCAAGTCACGAGTAACTGCTCTTCGGAAGCGTTTCTGTTAGTGAAGTGTCGTGCGTGTGAACAAAACGGAAGCAGAGGAAAGTCGAGACCTCATGGATTAAAGTGTCTGTAATGACCCACGTACTATAATATTAGAATGTTGCCAACTAGGGCGAGTAAAACAAAATAGTACATAGCAGGTATCCGTGGAATAGGTCACCCTGGGCACCCATGCTGGGCAAGAACATTCGCTAGAATTCAGAAGGTTGCGTTTTCTCATGATCTTCCACCGACTCGTCTTAGAGCCTTGGGCAAGTCATTTGACTCCCTTGTACTTACATGTTACTATCTGGAAAATGAAGAAGAAGATAAGTTGTAAAAGTCCAAATTGCTCTAGATGTCGTTACTGAATTTCATGAAAGAAACTTGGTTCTGGTGCCCAAGAAATTTTGCTTGGCTGTTAACATTAAATCGACATGCATTGAGTTATTGTCATCATCACATAAGGTTTCCCTTGAAGTTCCTTTGGCATTTCATCTCAAACCCGTACACCTGTTTCCTCTGATCTTCATACGAAACCTTCTGAAGGCCTTCAGATAGGAAGATAAGTGAGATAGTTCTATTGTCCTTTCCATTACTGCTTAGTATTGGGGGCTCGTGGGCCGTGTTCAGCCTATACCCATGTTTTAGTTGCCCACACGATGAATATTAGTTGCTAACATTTAAATCTGGGGAGTTTTGCCTTCTGTTTTCTCTTAAAAAATCAGATCTGGTAACGCTGTATCTGATCCTCCTGTGAGGCATCAGCGAAATCTGAGGCACCTCTGTCCTTGAGCCTGGACTGTGCCATCCGGCCCGTCCCAGCCCCCACCACTCCCTGCCGTGCTACATCCGGCCCTTCACTCATCCACGTGCCCCGCCTGGCTCCAGTGGGCATTTGGTTTCTGGCCTTTGGCTCAGTGGAAATGGCTTCATGTCAAATTAGTTCATTGCAGCTAAATATGAAGTCTAATAGTTTAGTTTTTTCATCCAAAAAAAAAAAATCTTGTATATACTGAATTTCTGCTCACTCGTCATACACCACTTAAAAGTGCCTTTTTTTTTTTTTTTTTTTAAGGCATGGGTTGGTTACAGTTTTTCACGGCCGCAGTCAGGGCCACTGAAAAGCTGTAGGCCTGTCTCACATGTCCCCACTCCTGGGTCTAGGTGTTTAATTCCTAGCAGCATTATCCCAACTCCAGTGGGGTGACGTCTTCCTGGCAAAATACTGCATGGTCTCCTATCGTCAGACCAGAGTGTCCCCCCATCAGAAACAAAGCAAAGCAACGCACACAGCAGTGATTATGAAACTGTGTACGCCATCGCAGAAGGTGACTAGATAAGTGTTTATAATCACATTTTTAGTGAACTAAGGGAAACAGGTTCTCAACGATCAGCATTAGCTAGCTGCCTTTGCGTTGATGCTGAGCCTTCACTGAAGGCAAATCCCGCTGTCCACAACAGTACGGGGACCTGGAGGTCACCCTGCTGAGTGCAGTGAGTCGGACAGAGAAAGACAAATACTGTATGATTTCACTTACGTGGAATCTAAGAAGCAAAAAGAACAAACTAATCGAAAACGGACTCACCGACATAGAGTACTATCTGGTGATGGCCAGCAGGGAGGGGGTAGAGGGCTGGGAGAAAGAGGTGAAGGGTTAGAGTACAAGTTAGTGGATAGGTGGTCACGGGGATGGGGAGCACGGCATAGGGAACGCAGTCAGCAGTAACGTAACGGCTAGGTGGGGAGTCAGCGGGGAGAAGGAGCAATCGGGGATCGTTTCGTAAACTATAGAAGTGTCTAACCAATGTGCTGTATACTCGAAACTAATAATAATTCTTTTTAAAAAATGCCTTTGAAGAAGACTCCACGAGGGCACCTCCCCAGATATTTCCCCAGAGGGGTATTGGGGCCTAGCGTAGGACAAGAGAATTGCGCCCACGGGCACGCTGTGAAGGGTGGTCTCAGGGAACACGTGCGCGTTTATGGAGCTGGCATCCTCATTCCGTGAGGGGGCTCCCGCTTCTCTCCCAGCCCCCACCCGTTACCATGCACCCCTCAGTCCACGTGTGTGGGGCAGTCAGAATGGAGGATGCTGTTAAACACCCCTAGCAGCTGAGACGCCTTTAACCCCGAGGTGCCAAGCGCTCCGGGACATAGTCACCCCTCGCCCCCGCAGTGGGGTCACCCCACCGTGGGTGGACGCCGGAGATGGAGCGGAGCTTTTGTAGATTGCCTGAAATATTGGCCCCTTTTCAGCCATTAGGAAAGTTTTCAGTTTTGTTCTGTTTTGTTTTCTTAACCTTCAGTCAGCTGCCAGTCTGTGGCAGGATTCCAGGGGAGTGACATGCAGCCATTCTCAGCCTGTCAAACCGGCCGTTTTAGTCCCTAAAGTTGGGTAGCGGTATCTGTGCAGAGGCCCACAATGGAAATGAAATTGGTCTCCCCTTCCAAGTGGCGGAAATCCAGCTTTGAGCTGGGCAGGCTTTGACAGTGTTGAATCTGGTAGCAGCTGGAAACCAGGTGACCCCGAGAGTGCTCCCGGATGTAGGTCACAGCTGGAGACGCCCCCCGGCCCAGATCACCCGCCGTTTAGTTGTCCGTGGCTCCTCACATGCTCCACATGTCATTTTTCCCTGCGACTCAGTGTCGCAGTGTCTAAGAAAGTCAGCCTGCATTCAGAGCTATAATGTGCTCAAGGTCATGGAGAGAAAGCCTTCGACAAGCTCGCGGATCGTAGGAGACCGAGACATGACGACCAAATGCAGTTCCGGACCCGGATCGCACCCCGGAAGATCAAAGGGGTGTTAGCGGAAAAACTAGTGAAATCTGGAAAGTCCAGGTTTAGTTAATAGCGATCTACCAATTAACACTGGTTTCTTCCGTTTGACAGGTATTCCGAGGTTATGCGAGGTAACGGGAAGCTAGGCGAAGGCCATGCAAGAACTTTCTGTACTATCTCTGCAATTGTTCTCAAGTTCTAAACAATTTTCTGAAATTATCCCGAAATAACTGTTGACTAGCTAGAATCAGAATTTCTTAAACTAGACGACACCTCAGGCATCACGTAGTATAAGCTCTTCATTCAGAGCAGGGAACCGAAGCTTGGAGAGGTGAAGTGACTTACCTGAGGTCGCCCAGGAGGTCACAGGTAATGTCCGCTGCATGCCTGCACTGTGCACCGTGCCACCTCACTTCCAGAGATCTCTGTCCCCCTCTTCCACACAGTAAGTCAGTCTTCCTGGCGGACACAGGGACAGGTGAGAATGAGCAAGGTGGTCAGTGCAGGTATGTAGATTCGTGGGCTGTGTATGATACGCTGTTGATGAAAAACATTGACGACGTCTAGTATTTACCAAGTGACGCAGCGTAGGGTGCCGTGTTCCTAGACACTTAAATCTAATGTTACTGGGGTGGAAAAAGGGACTTGCCGCTGGCCGTGCCACTCCCCGCCATCACGTGCTCTGGGTGAAGAAGGGTGTAAATGGGTCCGGGCGGGCCCGTGGGAGCTTCAGGGGGTGGGGGGGCTGGCAATTCCTCCTTCTCCAGGGAGGCCAGCCACTCTGGCTTTGCAGTTAGCTCTGATTATGCACCAGCTGTTTGCAGAACTTAGGTAAAATACGACTAGAAATGGAGCGACTTAGCACCTGGGCAATATTTGCCTCTTCAGCTTGTCACAGGGAGTGGCAAAGAGACAGTAATTCTCAGCTGTTAATTCAGTCGGCAAAGGTCAGACAGCTAGAATTCCCAAAAACAAACCCCGTTCTGCCCTGGCCTCTGTGGGGTCTGGAGCTTTTCAGCCTCTTAATTCCTGGACTCTTACAAATCTTTTTATTTAAAAAAAAAAAAAAAAATCAGTATAGGGCCATATTCATGGAGTATATGTCACAAGCTAAAGTTACAGCTAATTAATCAAACTTTTTGTTCAATCTATATCCTTAACACTAGCATCATGCCAGATAGACTATTCGGTACGAAATCTCTCATCCAGATGGGACGTGTGGACTGGGCCCTGTGGACTGGGCCCTGTGGAGGAAGCACTTCCCACCCAGACCCTCTTTCCTCAGTAATGAGTCACTTAGGTCTCCTTGGACAGGGGTTCGAGTAAGTCGAGTAAATAAATCTCAGGTCCACCGTATTAGGCTTCAAGAGTCACAAAGAATTTTTTAAATTATTTAAATCTATGGCCATGCCACCTTGAACAAGCCCGATCTCGTCTGATCTTGGAAGCTAAGCAGGGTCGGGCCTGGTCAGTATTTGGATGGGAGACCACTAGGAAAACCAGGTGCTGTAGATGTAAAAAATAAAAAATAAGGGATTGTAAGCTGACAAGGTCCTTGCAGTCTGTGAGGTCAACCAAAGTTTGCCTCGCCTGAAAAAAAATAATAAAATAGAAATAAACTATTTAAATCATTTTTCCTTGCTCTTCGAAGTAAAATGGAATAGTTGATTATCTACATTTCTTAAAGCTCTTTTATTTTACTTTCTTTTGAAGGGAAAAGCTGAGGGGAGATTGAAAAGACAGTGCAAACTTTAAAAAGCGGCACCTCATTTTTTGTCCAAGATAGGGCGACCTTGGGGCAGGGAAAGGTCCATAATGGGACCGCGTGTCACTGTTTTTAGGAACTTAGCAGAGTCGGCTTGCCAGCTCAGTTCAGTGGAAGCACGTGTGGATTTTTAGAGGTCACAGAGCAGTCTCTGTCATGCCGTTTATGACTTTCATTTTGTTCTTGGATGCTCTTAACAGTGTTTATTTCAGAACTTCCTTTAGGAGAACCACCTTCCCCTTTTTAGTGATTAGTGATTTATATTTGGTTATTAGAGGAGAAAATATTGTTTTCATTATTATTTTCTGTGTACTTCCTGAAGCTGTAATGAACAGATTTCTCAAAAGTGTTTTTGGATAGGCCAGTTTTTGTACTTATTTTTCGATACTACTGAATAATAAAGCCAAGTTGCACAAAACCTATAATGTGAACCCATTTATGTAAAATATATACACGTGAATATACATACACATGCACAGAAGATTTTTAGAAAATACATTAAAAATTAATTGCTAGCCTGTGGGAAGAGAGGATGGCATATGAGGAAAATCGTACTTATATTGTATCCTTCTGTACTGTACTGGTTTTTTTTTTTTTCTTTTTTAACTATAAAAATGTCTTTTTTTTAAATAATTTTTTAAACTCATGAGTTCCAAGGTAGCTTTTTCTCACATCATCTACCTTTTTTAGGTGTTTTCTGAGCAGCCTCAGGACGCCCCGTGTTTCCCCCGCTGACACGGGAAATATGTGGTTTGGTCTCTTTCCCCGTCATTCACCCGATGACTTCAGTCCTGTCCGTTCTGCTCCTGCTCTCTGTTTCTCGCAGGCCATAGCATTTGGGGCCCTAGGAAATCACGTGGTACAGTTTCCTCTTTCACAGATGTGGCACCTGCGGTCCACGGTGGCCTTTCCTGGCCTCGTTGAAATCTTAACAACTTTGTCTTTCTTTTGTGATGAACTAAGGAAGGCCAAGATGAGGTGCCTTATTTTCTCATGGATCTGACATCCGTGTGCTTCCCCAAGTGTTAACATGGTTTGCTGTTTGGTACCTGCGTATTATTAGACTAAAGTGTAACTGATACCACACATTCTAAGGTTCATATCGTATTATGGGGGAAGAGTCCCACGACTGGAAAAACACCGAGACCTGGTGGCTTATGATCCCTCGGTCCAAGAAGCTCAAAGGGCATCTCCAGAGATGGCCAGCACGTGGAGGGGCATTGGGAGGTGACGGTGCCTTTGTGCACAGCTTTGCTTTCATTTTGATGTGTAACACTTCTTCTCTGGGACTCATTAGGAAATTTAAACTGTGAGACTTACAGCGATGTTTTCTTTATAAGATTCCTGCAGCCTCAGAAGAAAATCATTAAAGAAGGAAATACTGCTTAAGTCTTTCCGGAGACCATGACCTTGAGAATGACCAGGGCTCAGCTGAGTGGCTGCGCCGGTGAACCTGCCTCACCAGGGCCTGGAGCCGGGCATCTGGTGTAGACACTCATCCTGATTTCTTTGACATCTGAGTCCCCGGGGAGAATGAAAGGCGGGCCCCTGGGCGCCATCTACATACCAAGTCAACAACCCCGCTCTCTGCGAATGTTCCCTCCCTGCCTGGTCCTGACCTGTGGTTCCCTCTCGACTCCGCCCGCAGGTCGTGGAAAGGAGGAGAACGCCAGCCGAAATCAGGGACGAGTTCGAGCGGCTGCAGAGAGAGAGGGAGGAGAGGAGGCTGCAGCAGCGAACCAACCCCAAGGTGAGCTAGGGGCCGGCCCGAGGGGGACGGGCGCAGGGCTGTTACCGACAGGCGGTTACAAGAAGCGATATTGTGCAAAAGTGACCCACGTTGGGGGGAGAAAAACCCAATCCTGTGGTTCTCCCAGAAGCCAAGGAGACTTCCCAGGCAGGAGCACAGGTCACCCTCTCATCATCCCGCCCGAACCCTTAACACGCGGAGAGCAGTTAGAGGACAGTGTCGGGGAGGCCAGCCCCCCAGGCACGCGTAGAGGCTGCTGGGACAGCAGTGCCACGAGCTCCAGCCGCTGTGGCAGTGGGCGGGGATTCTCTATGACTTGCGCCAGTCCCCGATAGAGTTCGAGTCACAGACTCCAGTCACGCTCCCGAGTCTGAGAGTGACTTTTCAGTCCTGCCTGTACTGTCTTTTATCTTTAATTTCTTGGGGAAGCATAGCGTTTTGAGTGCGCACCCCAGTTTTGTGGCAAATAGGATGTCTCGGTCAAGTTGAGATGCCAGTCGCACTGTCTGGCTAATTGAACATGGCCCAGTGTTCTGTTCAACTGTGTTTAATAAGGGGACTCAGCAGTCGGGCTCGGTCAGTGTGGCCAGGGTGACCTGGCAGGCAGCCTAAAAATCTAAAGAACAAATGCTGGCTTACAACTGGGAAGCATGATACTGCAAACTTCTGATCAAATACGTTCTAGAAAGTAGAAGACCCCTGCAGCATTTAAAGGACTGTATGTTCAAAACGCTCCCATCTGCTTGAATCCTGCACTTCAGGGTGCAATCGTAAGTGCCAACACCTGTCCCCCACCCACCCTCCCCTTCAGCAGATGATGGCTTCCGCGAGGCGCAGTTATGTTTTGGTCAGATGGAGGTAGAGAACTGAATCACTGGCTGAAGCAACTCAGCGTGCCAGATAATTGGGAGAGCTGAAAATCTCCGAGGCACCCTAACGAGCGGGTTCCCCTCTTGGCTCTCCCAGCTGGGGCTGGGGGCCAGTACACCGGGGGCAGGTCTGGTTTACAAGGTCGGCGCTGGCAGGTGGAGGCGAGGGTCCAGGAGACGGGGTGGGAGCCCGGCAAGAGCGGGCGGTGGCTCTGGGACCTTTGCTGATCTGGCTGGAGTTTTGCTGCATTCAGAGCAATGAAGGGGGAAAAGAACGTCACAGTAGCCGGAGCCCCTGTGTCCTGTGATACAATCGGCCATCTGGGTGTGCACAGTGATGGCTGATTGGGATTCTATGGAAATGTGTCTCCAGGCCATGTTTCTGTGGAATGAGGGAGCGCAGCTGTGACCATTTCACATCGCATGTGAGATATTGTAAAATTCCCAGTTCACTTCCATAAACTGCTTCCAAATAGATGAGACTGTTTCTAACCAGAAACACCGAGCGATAAGCAGATGTCGGCTGTGCAGCATTCTGAGAGGTTTTGAGCTGGATCTTTGATTCCATTTCCGAGTGTTTTGCTTTTCAAGATGAGCAGAAAGGTTGGGAACAGTCTCATCCTAAGAAGAAAGGGCTGATCTCTTTTAAGAAGACTGTAGGGAGAATGATACTTGATGACCATTGGGCTCGGCACTGGCCTGTCACTCGGACCCCACAGAGGGTCACAGCTTGTAGGGGATCGGCAGGCGAGGTAACATTTGTGACACAGCCATCTGCAACTTGGATGGACAGCTCCCTCTATGTCCATCAACAAGACTTTGTTGGTAGGGATTCTCCAGTAGGATGTACGTACCAAGAACAGGCAAAAAGGTCAGCGAGGGAACCCGTGGGTGGAAGTACCAGCTCTGACAGTGATGCCGGACGCAGAGCCAGCCGTCTGACCGGTGTGTAGTGTTCTCAGTTGCACGATGAAGACACCTGTTCTGTCTCACCGAGTGGTTAAATGGTTGAAAAAATAGGAAACGGACGTTAATTCATTAGGGAAAGACAAGCCTGCTAGATAAGAGCAAACAGGCACTAGACGGAGCCGAGGCTAGGAACGTGTTTTTGTTGTCATGTTTCATTCGTCACTGCGTGGGGACTCTTTGGCTTGGTCAGGCCATTCCTTGGCCGGTGGTGGCTGGGTTTGGATGGGGTCTGTCAGCTGGGATTTGCACATGGCCCTCTGACAGCGCCGCCAGCCTTGTCCTCTGGCTGAGCCCAGTGCTGCTGAGGTGTGAGCCTCGGTTTGTGTGGACTGAGCTGTGGAAAGCACCGCGGGACCCAGGAGGGATGAACAGAACCGCTGGCTGCAGCCGAGGGAACACAGGCGTGTGCACACACGCACACACGCGCCTGCCTACGCTGGGGGCAGCGAGGGAGAGCTTGCCACATGGAGTCAGGCGCCCTGGGCTGGGTGCGGGTTCTGCCCTCCAGCCCTGTGCCCAATTTCTCCCTGTGTGTGATGGGAAGTTTGCCACGAGGCCCACCACCCGGGGCCAAAAGACACAAAATCCCTGGTTGAATTGCCTTCGATTTCTGCCTTTGCCGTGTGAGAATAACGTCCTCTGTTTCCTGCTGGGAAGGGGTCCTGGGGTCTCCAGGGCCAACCACCCTGAGCCGGTGTTGGGGAGAGGACCTGTGCCTGGACAGACGACCAGGTTCGTCCGCACCCTCCAAGACTGTGTGTGACCGGGGCCTGATGGCACCACACTGGCCACCTCTCCCTTTGCTATTCAGATCTCTGTTTTATTGGCCGAATCCACCTACGTTTCTTGACCTTTAGAGACTAAGATCATACAGTAGAGCTGCTCTCTGCCGTGCTCACTCGATATTGATTATTTTAATTCCTTTCTTTGGTAATGCCCATACATCTTGTTTCTGCGGACGACAACCCCTTCGGGAGTATTCGAAGACGAGGTGATTTCCGGGGGCACCGCAGGGCGCCGCCGCCGCCTGCGCAGTGAGCTTGTCCAGACGCACGCGTCCGCGGGCGGTCGTCTGCGGGTCGGCTGTCCATCTCAGGGTGTAGACTGCTTTCTTTCTGGACCCCGTTACAGAAGTTCCACGGAGACTGTTGTGGTATTTCCTAGGACACACCATTCTCCTTCCTCTGCCGCACAGGTTGACACACACCCCCTGGGGGGACCCTTTCCGGTTTTAGAAAGTCCATTTTATCAGGGCGGTTCCTGTAACAGCTTGAAAACACAATCCAGCTTTATCAGAAAAAAATTCAATGTATCAAGGAAGACGTATATATAACCATAAAAATATTTTTGAATCCCAAACGTTTTCATGAAGACGTCTGAGTACGTGACTCAATTATTTTCAAGGGATTTTTTTTAAAAGGTGTGTGTCGGTTGCCATGGCTGACGATTACAGCCATCAGAACGAGCCTGTGGTCATGACTTCTGTTCTGCAGAAACGATTCTGATGTCATAAACCGACTCGGTCCGGCTGGCAGAGTAACTGTGTGCTCGCGTTCGCCGGCACGAAGGGCAGCTTACCGCGCGCCGAGACGGGCTGCCACTGGAGTCGGAGAAACCAGAGTTGTCATGTGAAGACAAGGGATCGAGTCTGGGCAGGTGCCGTTATACAAGGTGGGGTCTTTGGTGGAGGGAAGAGGTGGCTGGCTGTGTAGACGGCACGGAGAAGGCCATTTAAGTGGGTACGAGCTGGAGGACTGCTCCACTCCCAGCCTGTCAGCATCGTCACCTCCAAACAAGACGTCAGAATTGAAGACTGCTGTTTATACAGCGGGGAGACACAAGGGGCCGGTGGGGCTGGGGTGCGTGGTGGTTCTCAGAAACCCTGGTAAGTCTGCATTTGGACCTCCAGAACCAGAGAATGCAGGTCCAACCGATCGCAGACGGAAGGAGCCTGGCGACAGCCTCACGAGAGCCACCTTGGGTTCATCAGCCGTCATGAAGTGAGCATGTTTCGTCGCCTCTTAATGCAATCGCCTCCCTCAGTGGAATTTTCAGTTAGTAAATAGCTACTATTGAGATTGCATTTGACAGAAATTTCTTACATCATCCTTATGGCCAGATAAAAATGAACGTGAAAATAATTCAGAATGGAACATTCCCGGCTGAATGAGCAACTGATTCCACTCAGAGAGGGTTGATGAACGCCCCTTTCCGAACTGGGGAGGAGCTTCTCATCGTGGGAGCAGGGCTCTGGCTTGGCAAGCTCGGAATTCCTGAACGATGTCAGCGAAAGTGTATTTGTCACAATCACAGGTGACCTAAAGTGGAAGGACAAAACCAAGCTTCTGAGAGATCGCAGTGAACCAGAATGAAGTGGGGAAAGGAGGGGCGGTGGGCTTGGCCTGACTCGCTGGCTTAAGACTCACACCGAGAGAGCGACCCCAAAGGGAAGATGGTTCTGGCTCAGTGTAAGGAACATCGAGCAAGGGGTTAATGGAAACCGCTTTCATTCACGATCTCACTGACGGTTTTTCAGTGTCGTCGCTGCTTGTAAAGGACTCTACAGGGCTTGTCATTGCTGCTGTCTTTTACACCTTGGTGGCATAACTCGGTGCCCCAGAACTAGGGTCGGCCAGCTGTGACCGGCCGCCTATTTTTGTCCAGCCCATGAACTAAGAATGGTTTTTATTACACCTTTAACAGTTTTTAAGAAGTCAAAAGAAGAGTAATAATTTGACAGCTAAAAATGATATAAAACTCCGATCTCTGTGTCCATAAATAAAGGTTTATTAGAACCCAGCAAAGCTCATTCATTTACGTATCCCCTGTGGCTGTTTTACAGCACGGCCACAGACTTGAGTCATTCAGCGGTAGCTGCCCACAAAGCCGAACGTGCTACCTGGCCCTTCACAGAAAAGGTCTGACAACCTTGCTATAGAAAAGTAAGGCAAAATATGCAAGTAGCAGTGGGGGGAAAGTAAAATGCTTTAAAAGTTTCGTGATTTGGACTCGATAACAGAGTCCTTAAAAGTATTTTCCTTTGTAGACTTTTTATTTGAAAAATGTGGTTTAATAATAAAAGGACATGAACTTAACATATATTCAGTTGGAAGGTGTTGAAAAAAATAACCCATTAATTTATCCAGTGTTAGAGTTCTGTTT